ATGATGTGGAGGGCCAGCAGACCCAAGGCCCGAGTATAGAAGACACACAAACGGCAGCAGCTGCTGCTGCAAACAGCAGCAGCAGCAGCAGCAGCAGCAGTGAGAACAGTGACAGCAGTAACGACAGCGGCAGCAGCAGCAGCAGCAAAAACAACGTGATAGAGCATAGCAGCAGCAGCAGCAGCAGCAGCAGCAGCAGGGACGATACGAGCAACAGCAGGAACAGCAGCAGCAACAGCAGCAACAACAGCAGCAACAGCAGCAGCAGCGACATGCAAGTAGAGACAGCAGCCGCTGCTGCTGCATCTGCTGCTCCTACTGTACAGCGTAATACACCAGAGGATGATGCAGGCAGCAGCAGCAGCAGCAGCAGCAGCAATAGCAGCAGCAGCAGCAGCAGCAGCAGCATTGATGGACTTGCGGGGGGCATGCGTGCTGCGGAGGGGGAGGCTACCCCCCGTCTACTACCAACAGCAGCAGCAGCAGCAGCAGCAGCAGCAGCAGTTGATGCTACTGGTGCTGACACGGGCGGCCGCAGCAGCAGTGACAATGACAGTAGCAGCAGCAGCAGCAGCAACAGCAGCAGCAGCAACAGCAGCAGCAGCAGCAGCAGCAGCAGCGTGAGGCCTCGCACGACTGCCTACAGCTTTGTGCCTGGTAAGAGCAACAGGTCTCGCAGCAGCAGCAGCAGCAACGACAGCAGCAGCAGCAGCAGCAGCAGCAGCAGAGTCTGCAGGAGCGGCAGCAACAATAGCAGCAGCAGCAACAATAGCAGCAGCAGGAGCAACAACAGCAGCAACAGCAACGACAGCAGCAGCAGCAGCAGCAGCAGCAGCAGGTCTGCTGAGGCTCCATCTAAATGCAGGTTAATTATATGCGACAACTGCAGCCACCCCATATACTTCAACCCTGACAGCAGCAGCAGCAGCAGCAGCAGCAGCAACAGCAGCAGCAGCAGCAGCAGCAGCAGCAGCAGCAGCAGAGAATACAACTAAAAAGGAAGCTTCGTCTGCCTTTGAGTGCTGCATTTGTATGGACGAGATTCATGACCCCGTTGTTACACGCTGCGGCCACCTTGTATGTCTTGCTGCTGCTGCTGCTGCTGTTGCTGTTGCTGCTGCTGGTGTTGCTGTTGCTGTTGCTGCTGCTGCTGCTGCTGCTGCTGCTGCTGCTGCTGCTGCTGCTGTTGCTGCTGTTGCCGTTGCTGCTGCTGGTGTTGCTGCTGCTGTTGCTGCTGCTGGTGGTGGTGGTGGTCCTGGTGCTGCTGCTGTTCATGCTGTTCCTGCTGCTGCTGCTGCAAGTTTTGGGGCTGCAGTTTTAAGGGGATGGGGGGTTGCTGCTGCTGCTGCTGCGTGCATGCGTATTCTGCTGTAGCTCTTGCTGCTGCCTCAGCAGCAGCAGCTGCTGCTGCAGGAGCAGCAGCAGCAGCAGCAGCAGCATGCGTGTGTGTGTGTGTTTGGATGCTTCAACGAGTCATTTGTGCTTGCATCTCTCCGTGTGTGCTGCTGCTGTTGCTGCTGCTGCTGTTGCTGCTGCTGCTGTTGCTGCTGCTGCTGTTGCTGCTGTTTCGCATGCATACACACAACATATATGAATCAAAAGCCAAATATATATATATATATATATATATATATATATATATTTTTTTTTTTTTTTTTTTTTTTTTTTTTTTTTTT